GTTTTCTAAATTATATATATATATATATATATATATATATTATATACATTAATACATAAATGTAATAACAGAAATTACATCCAAATTTATATCTAAAATTCACGATTTAATAACTAAATTCGATAAATTAAGAAAACTTATAAGTTTCCGTTCCAATCACGATACCCATTAAGCAAAAATTACCTGAATATCTTTGTGCTCAGCCAGTAGTAATAAAGTAAAGCAAATAGTCATCGCTGTAGTATCATAACCCTGTAATCGTAATACATATTGTAGGAACATAAAAAGCCGTAAAGCATTTAAGTTATTTAAAGTTGGTAAGATTCGGAGATCGTTATGACATCGAAGCTGTTGTGATCGTAGATAGACTGAGTGTCATGATTCATAAACAAAGAATCCTTAGTTCGAATCTCAGTCGCTTCGTTAATTTTTCCGAACTTCCTACAGTATTTTGATCAAAAATACAAAAAAATTTCAAAATACATACGGCAGCTATGAAAGTGTTAATTTCCCCTTGAATATCTGAATCGGTTAAATAACTTTCTCGTGATGCTGCTATTAAAAAATCCAACACAGCTAGTTGCTTCTTTTTAACTAGATTTAACAGCAAGACAATCAATGTTATAGAAAAAATGTATTATTAATAGTGTTTTTATTGTTACAATTGCAATTTTATCCCGCTCATTAAACAACATTAATTTAAAGTAAAGTTATATCAACATTGAACTAATTTAGCAAATATATTATTTAATTTTTAAGTAAGATTACTTGAATTGATAATTCTGAGTATTGTGAAATAAAATTATAACGTAAATCAAGCTAAAGTACATTAGTAACATTTATATTTATAACATACTTATAATGGTTTCTGAATTATTTTCTTCTGCCAATGCAACTTTATCACAAGTTTTCATGTACTGTCCATTGATTTGTTCATGATAAAGTTTTCTTTCTGCAATAATCTAAAAAAATATCAACTCTTTTATGATTTTGTTTATGCGCGCGTTAATAATATGTTCCTCAATTTATGAATTGTATTATTATATTTCTTATAATAGTTATAAAATCTTTATCGTTTTCTTATAGTTTTATATAATAAAAGAAATTACAATATATATAAATTAAAAATATATATAAATTAAAAAACTACCAAATTTTTACATACTTTCTGAGAGAATCCATTTATTATCTTTAGAAATCTTCTTTGTTGTCTACTTTTTGATGTTAATGCGAAGATCCAATCGTGATATAACCATGGTCTCAACCCTCTAAATTTTAATTAAATTAATTTAAAATTTCTGTTATTACATTTATGTATTAATGTATATAATATATATATATATATATATATATATATATATATATATATATATAAAACATAAATTACCTATATATCACGAATTCGAACATCTTATCAACTGCATGTCGATACTGTTGCTGTAACGAATCAAAATATTTTCTCAAAGACGTACTTGTGCCAGCATCTACAAAAGCATTTTTTAAAATAGCATCACGATAATATATGCTCAAATATTTCTAAAAGCTTTTGTTTTTAGAATTAAATATTACTCTTTAATTTGTTATAATTATATTTTGCATATAAAATTCACATTGTTTGTCTAATAATAAGATGAAAGCATTATGATTGTAATCAAAATACAATACCGCAAATTGTATTTAGCGTATATTCACTGACAAACAACATTAAATCCTTTACAATCGGGTCTCCCATATTTTTCAAAGAGTTTACCATATCTTTGCTCTGCTTATTGAAGACATTCTCAACAAACTGCTGTAATATAACAAAATGGAATGTAGGATTAATTATCTTCCGTCGCGATTGCCATTTGGCGCCTAAAACAAAAACAATATGACAAGTAAAATTTAACAAAAATAATATAAAGAATAAAAACATACAGGAGTTTAATTATTCTTACATATGACAAAATTGTAATTTATATTTGACTATATCTTTTTCTACTTATAACGAATATATTTTATATACAAATTTTTTTATAATAAAAATGTTCATATTTTATTTGATTTAATAACTTGATATTGTAATAACTTGATTTTGATCATATCTTCATTATGTAATATAATTCGATAACAAGAAATGTATATAATAACAAAATATATATATGTATCATATGTATTACAATGATATAATTAAGTTACCTCCACTAGTGAGAAGGCTTGTACTAAACCAAGGATGTAACACGTTGTAGATAAAACTCTTTTCGATATGCTTCTTTAATATTATCTAAATTAAAGAAGTTTTATATAATTTAATTTTTATTTTAAGTTTTATTTAATTCAATCGTGAAATGAACGATTGTAATAATCAATTGTTATTCAAATTATCATTGACATTTCATTAATTCAGTCCTTAATAAGTTTATTTCTTGTCTAAATAATAATTTTTATTAAATGTAAGTGAATGAGAAATTTTTCAATTACCAGTTTGTCAATAATGAAACTATCGACAAATTTGAATGTTTATATTACCTCTATGTCATCAGGGTGACGGATACATACAACGGGTCTAAAGAAAAACCATATTTTAAAAATAGGATAATATTGGTCAAAGATGATGACATGCAACTTCCAAATATTTTCTGAAAAAGTATATATGCTGTAAATATAAGAATATATTGCCGAAAAATTTATAACTGGTTTATTAGTATATTTTTAATATGAATATTAAATTTATTATAATAACAAAAATATGAACTTGCATTTTTATATAACGTTAAAAATTTTTATGTAAAATTTGCATCAAAAATACATTGGTCAACAAAATTATCGTAGATATAAATTTATATCAAAATTTGGTATATAAATTTAAATAAACGTAACACATCGAAAAATTATTTGAAAGTTTTTTCTTTTCGAATTCTCAAGGGTAAAACTTGTACTTTAAGTTGTACTTTAAGGAGCATTCGTCATTGAAACATTTTTCGATCTTTTCAAAAGTAAGAACGTATTACGTTTTCAAAGGAATTACATAATTTAACGCTTTCTACGGAATTGTGTAAATTCTTTTCGCATATATCATGTAACAATCAAAATATGGACATTGTCTTGCAAATTAAAAAAAAGTTCATACGACTTTTTTTCGTAGAATTACACAACGTTATTAAATTACTTATGAATTTTGATTTAATTATTGCCAAAACTTTAGCATTATCCGGTAAATCATGAAAAAGTTGCTGATTTGAATTTGCGTATCACGTTTTTGCGTGCATGCGCGCACGCGCAGGTATGTGTTTGTGCGTGTAAAATTGAATACATATATCTGAATAAAATGATCAAATATAGATTAAAAACACATTCCGTATTAAAAAAATCTATTGACAAATTATTATAATTATTAAAAAAGTACTAAACAGATATTAAGTTTTTTTCTTAAAAGTTTTTTAATTTAAACAGATTTAAACGTATTTAAAATTTTACTTACGTTGTGAACTTTGTAAAAATTTCTTAACAATTGAATAACTTGACGGTCCAGGTATACGATTGATCAATCTTCCATCTCGTCCATAATATATGTAAAAATTATATATCAATAAAGTAAAAATAAGTAGTAACAAAATAATAATCATTGTAGTAATCACGGGCTCCTGATCAAGTAATTAATATATTTAACTTTATTGTTTTCAATTTCTTCTTTGTTGGTTAATAAATTATACGTGTGAAAGTCTTCTTTGACAAATATTGTGTAATATTCTGAAAAATGTAATAAATAGAACATGCATTAAAATATGCTTAATTATACTTCATAACTTTTAAAGAAATTTAGAAAATATAATAAATGCATTTTTTCTAATTGTTGTAATTTACAATGTATTAATTATATAACAAATCATGTAAATTTAACAAAATTTTTAAATTGTCTTTTCTTTTATTTAAAACTATTTATTTACTACGTAAAAATATTATTTTTTAAAATGTTTATAAATATCGATTTATATAATTGTAAAACTAAACATTATATATATAATATATTATATATATAAATACTTTTAATAACTAAATGCTTCACTGTACCAGAATAACAAAAATCGAAGTTTGTAGACTTAACGATCATGACTAACTGCTGATTTATCTTGTCTGTCTGCAGAATTACTCGTGTGAATTGGATAAAAAAGTGAGGAATATTGCTGTTTTTATGGTGAATAATCATCATACCATAATCAACTGCCTATTCACTTCGTCGATCTGCAAAATTATTCGTATGAGTTGAATAAAGAAAATGAAATATATCTAAGCGAGACGATTTTTTTATAATTGCCTTCATTTTCTCAGAATAGTATTTAAATTCTAATACAAGATTATGTTAATGATATTTTACAATTAATTTATTTTTATATCAAGGTTATCAGCACTCAAGGTTATCAAGGATCTCGAGCACTTATAACTGAAAACATATAAAAATATTATATAAAACATGCACGATATGCTATTAATATTTATAATTATTACAAATGCTTCGATGTATCAAACGCAATTCATACACGGAAAGAACACTTTTACTGGCAAATCTAAAAATTTGACTACAGATCTGAAAATAATTTTGTTGGGCCATCAAAATTATTTTGTAGAACACTTAAATATGATGATAATACAGCAAAAATATTTGATCTTCTAAACATCGTATATAATTTTGAAGGCTCAACAAAATCGTTTTCAGATCTGTATCTGGTCAAATTTTTAGATTTGCCAGCAAAAGTATTCTTTCCGTGTATATAAAAAGAAATAATTATTATTTAAATAAGTAAAAGATATTTAAAAACGCGCTTGTCATCTCGATCGAAAATGTAGCGATGCAATGACGAATTTATGATGTCACATTTAGTTCTAACAAAAATAAATATTCATATTTAATAAATATAAATTTATTTCTAAAAAAAGCGCTAAATTAATACTTGTATTTCTGTTTATTCTTGCTTCTTTTCCACGATTCCGATTGATTGTCTCGTTACGTTTACTTCGTGAGAGATAATTATATGTATTGTTATGTGTATTATATTGTTTTCACAATTATGTGTGTTGTTTATTAAGAGATTAAGCTTTATGGCACATAAAGAATGTAAGCAATAAGATTTAAGAAAATTGACCGATCACAATTGATTACTCTTCTTACAGTCGAGAAATAATCTGTGATTGATCGCTTTCTTTACATTTTTCTATTTAAGTTTTTCTATGTGCCACGCTTCTTATAACAATATAACAGTATTACATTCTGCTCCTATAATTTATGTTCCTTTTAAAAAATAAATAATGCACGCATAGCGCGTGATTGTAGTGTTCCCGCTTACTTCGTGAATAATCATTGCGGATAGATCATTTGTAGACAATTTGTATATTTGTCATACATATACATATATTATATATGTAATCATGAATAAAAAACTTATTCATGAATTATTAGTGTGAAAATATTTTATATTGTATTTTCTTTGAGTAGTATTATATAACAGATTAAATATTGAAAATAACGAAAATGTAAGTAATTTTCTTCACATCATATAACAATTGTTCATGATACGAAGACATGTATATAGTTTGCGATACAAATTTATAGAATTTATCTAAATTTTATATTTAATTGAAAAATATAATGCAAAAGAAATAATGCACGCGTCGTTATTGATTGGCAACCTCTATTAATCGTTATAGTATTGATATTCTGAATAAATTTAATTTATTGAAACATGCATTTAAATAAAATTATGCTAATTATGCTTCATAACTTATAACTTTTAACTTTTAAGGAAATTTATAGAAAGTATAAAAAATGTATTCTTCCTATTTGTTATAATTTGTAATAATTATATAACATATCCATAAATTTAACAAAATTTTTAAAATGCCTTTTTCTTGTTTAACAATGTATATTTACACCATAAAAATTATTTTTTTAAATGTTTTAACAACGTTTAGAAATTCAGATTTATATAACTTTTGAAATATACTAAAATTTATACACATTACATAATATTACGTAAATATTTTTAATAAGGAAATTACTGTGCCAGGATATCAAGGTTTTCAGACTCAATGGCATGACTATCTGCTCATGATCATAAGCATGCATCTAATTTATTATATAACATCATGCTAATGATCCTTACAATTAATTCGTTTATGTTAATCAATGTATGTCAGTAGAAATCTCAAGTCTATAATCAGTGAAAAATTTTATAATTAAACAGGTGTACAACATGCTATTACTGATTATTATAAAACAATCCATTACATAAAAGGATACTTTTATTTAAATATTAATGTAAAAAATATTTTTAAATTCACTTATCCTCATTTTGATCGAAAAAGGAGCCACGCCGTGACGATCGAATGAGTGATGTCGCATTTCGTATTCTGACGAAAGTAAATGTACGTATTTAATAAATACATATCCACTTATAAAAAGGCATATTAAGTCAACACTTACATTTCTGAAAGTTTATTGTTGTCTCTTTTTTTTAATTTGAACTGATCCTTCCGCTGCGCTTATTTCATGAATGGCTGAGAAAATTGTTTTGATAATATGTATATTGTATTTATTAAAAGATTAATATACTGTAACAGTATTATATTCTACTTGTATAATTTTTGCTTTTTCTATTTAATAAAATAAATAACATGCGCATAGCGCACGTTTTGTAGTATCTTCACTCATTTTGTGAATAGCTATTTGTTGCTAATAGTTTATTTTTACAATTTGTATATTTGTCATACATATTGTATATGTTATCATGGACAAAAAGATTACAAGTATGATAATATTTTATTATATTTCCTTTGCGTAATAAAATATTATATAATGATTTAAATATTAAAGATAATGTAAGCAATTTTCTTTGTATATATGATAATTGTTCATAATATAAAGTAGATGTGTATATTTTGCGATACAAATTAATAGAATTCATCTAAATTTTAATTGCAAAATATAATGTAAGAAATAAAGTAGCGCACTTACAGCGAACGTAGTGTCTAGTAAGTTCAAAAAGCGACTTTTAAAAAAGATACTTAAATAAATTAATATAGTTAATCAAAGTTTATGCCTTTTGATGAATTAATTATTATTAGAATCTGTGATATGTACAAGAAAATGCTACTGCTATCTACAAAATGCTCACCAATACCGACTACAATATTATATTGCGTATAATCTCTCTTTGCGCATAAAATAAATAAGTATAATATATAAGTAAGCCCATAAGTATTATTGTACACGTGTTACTTTGCACGCATGATTTTATTCTATATAAATATATTACACGTACGCCCATATTGTACACATAAATGTGGAAACCATATTAATATTAGAAACATTAGGTGATGTAAAATGCACTTAATAACTAATTCGATAAGTTAATAAAATTGATAAGTTTTCATTTCAATAACGATATCTATTAAGCGAAAAATACCTGAACATCTTTGTGCTCAGCCAATAGTAATAAAACAAAGCACATAGTCAGTTGCTGTAATTTCATAACTCTGTAACCACCATTAAATACATATTTAAATGAAAAAAGTTTACAAATACATACGGCAGCTATAAAAGTGTCGATTTCCTCTTTAATATCTGAATCGGTTAAGTAACCTTCTCGAGATGCTGCTATTAAAAAATCCAACACACCCAGCCGCTTCTTATTTAGATTTAACAATAAAACGATCAATATCATAGAAAAAGTTTATTATTAATAGCTTTTTTATTGTTACAATTGCAATTTCATCCCGCTTATTAAACAACACTAATTCAAAGTTAAATTATATCAATATTGGATTAATTTAATACTAAATATATTATTTAATTTTTAAATATGATTACTTGAATTGATAATTCTGAGTATTGTCAAATAAATTTACAACATAAATCAACTTAAAAGTACTTTAGTAACATTTAATTATGCAACATACTTGTAATGGTTTTTGAATAATCTTTTTTTGCATCGTTATCACAATCTTTCAAATATCGTTCATTGGTTTATTTATGATAAAGTTTTCTTTCAGTAATAATCTAAAAAAATATCAGTTCTTCCAATATTTTGTTTATGCTGGCGTAACAATATGTTACTCAATATTTACAAATTGTATTATTATATTTCTTAAAATAGTTATAAAAACATTATATATTTTCTTATAATTTTATATAATAAAAGATATTACAATATATATAAGTTAAAAAATTACATAACACGAAATTTTCACATACTTTCTGAGAAAATTCATGTATCATCCTTTAATGTTATCCTTTATTGTTTATCTTTTGGTGTTAATGCGAAGACCCAATCATGATATATTCAGGGTCTCATTGCTCTAAATTTTAATTAATTTAAAATCACTATTATTACAATTATATATTAATATATATCATATATACATAATTTTGAAAAGACAAGGATATTAGAAGATGTTAGAAATGACACATGTTTTTAAATTTAGTGTATTCATTTTATCATAGTAAACATTCAATATTTTAAAATTTAAAATTTTTTATTTAAAAAATTTTATTTTAGGCAAGCAGTTAGTTGATTAAATGTTTAAATTGTTAACTTCCACATTGAATATAATTATTATTTTTATATAATTAAATGCTAGTAGTGTGTTTATTTATCTTGGTACTTTATAATTATTTATTTATTATCTATAATTATATCTATATTTATTAT